GTGCGCATCACATAGTAAGATTAGCTAAATAACAGGAATAAGAATGCATAATGTTTTCAAAACTAGATATCATGGTTAGTAGAGGCCGATCTTTGATCGGGCGAGCGGGGGTGCTCATCGTTGACCTTCCCCAATCGTACCCAAGCTCCCAAGCCGAGGCAACTTTGGTGATGATGGACATGTGGCCTTAGGCAAACGAGTCAGGGTTTCCTAAATTCCCCCATAAAAAATATTTAGGTAGCGACTCTGTATCTGGCAAAGCAGTCCATGTTTGGCACTTCTTTTTAAAAATCTATTTTTCAAAACGATTTGCCGGATTTGGACTCTTTGGTGATTTATCAATCTCACATCGCACATTGTGAGATCAAATTAAGAACCATGACAATTTGAGTCCTGAATTGTAGTGAGCCCAAAACGAACAGAACGGGATTCATCCTCCCGGGCGTTCGGGGACGTCTACACTCTGGTTTTCCAAAATCCTAACATTTCAAGACAACAGCTTCATTAGGAAACAGAGCATAACACCAAGACCACTTGATAATGCTATTCAGTGATGAATGACACCATCCCTCTGTGCTACTCTCCTCGCATTATCCTCTTTGAAGTCCATGATTCTCTGTAATGCTTCTTGTTCATTACCACTGAAGCTAATCCCCAGAGTTTACCCACTTTTAAAGTCTCCTTGGCCTATTCCAAGAAGAAATTTCCACCCCGATTAGACTGACCTCCCGAGCTTGATCTTGACAGCATTGCTGCAGCCACTCTAAAGACAGGTCCTTTATGCCATACTCTCATTGAAGATGAACCACCAAATCGAACAGCTCCATTCCCACCTCTCTAAGCCAATCTACCTCCTTTTGATACCCTCTCCGGTACCAGGGCCTTTTTCTTCCCAATGAATTTGTAATTGTGATTATAGGGCACTCCAGATCCTCCAGCAATCTTTCCCAAAATAGATATGGACTGTGTAGATGACAATGGTGAACACCCATCAACATGGGCCTAAGTCACTTCTTTCCCTTTAGGACTATGTCTCACTCCCACAATTCTTTCACTGGGCTTGGCCACTCCCTTTTCTTTGACAGCCTTATCCAATAATATTTGAATGTTAATTCCAGGCCTTTCAAGCCCAGTACCACTAAGGCTTCTCATAAACCCAGTCATAACCAACCCCACCTCCTCCCTACCCCTCTCATTAGTACTCCTCTAGATCACAACTATGCTATCATTAGCAATGTAACTATTGCATGCTTCTGGTAACTTTGGGTTCTCCATACATGTGTTTATAGTTTCTCCCACTACAGATGGATAAGAAGTGTCCAGCTTCTTACCTTATCTACTACCCTCATTGATTGCCACATCCTCCTTTTGAAGAGAGACCATGTCATCCTGGCCTACCACTTCATTATGCATAGTGCCTTCTACCTTAGCAACTTCTTCCACGACTGGACTCCTATTGTAACGGCCGCAAAATGCATATCACAATTATCTTAATGGAATTCTGAGTTAATATGATTTAACTTGGAACTATCTGTCTGAATTGGGAAAGTATCTGTTGGAGTTACGACTTCAGACCTGAAATTGACGACCTTAATGGGCTTCATGGATAGACTAATGGGAATTTTTAGTACCATATGGGGAGTTTAATTGAAAATTGATTTCGTCTGATTCGCTAAGTTATGTTTGGCTTCACTTTTATACAATTATATGTATATATGAGATATGAGCTCATTTGAGCTCATACTTATCAACTTAGACCCAACAAAAAAAATCAGAAAAAGAGAGAGAGAGAGAGTTTTAGGGAACACCAAGGAAGAGAAGAAGAAGAGAGCTTGAAAAAGAAGGAGGAAGAGTAAAGCTTTGACCTCCATCAATCATTAATCTAAGGTGAGACTTCACTTCTAATTCCTCGAATTTGAGATATCTCGATGCCTATCCTCTTGAATTTAAGCTTAATCAAGAAAGCATCATGCATCTTTGATAGGGGTTTTGTGGTTTATGAGGTGGAATACCAATATGAACATGCATGGCTAGATTTGTAGGAGTTAGTTCAAGATCTTGGCATACAAGGCATGGGTTTGTGAAAGTCTTGTGCATACACTTGTTCTCTTGCAAGGTTCTTGAGATTTAAAGAGGAAACTCCTATATTTTGAGAATTGGAACTCAAGTATACATATTTTATGGTTTTACATTTCAAGTCTAAGTTTGATCCTTTACATGGCAATTGGGTTTTGATATGCAGTGCTAATTTTTGTTCATTCAACTTGTTTTGTTGAGTTTTGAGCCTTGAATTGCATGAAAATAAAGTTGATTTTTGCAAAAGAATGAGTTTCCCTTAAAGCAAAATTTTGGAGTGAAAATATACCCAGACCGCTCGAGCGGCCTGGGCCACCGCTCGAGCAGCCAATCCTTTTTTGGCCAAAATTGCATTCTGAAATCACCGCTCGTGCGGCCAAACCATCGCATGTGCAGCCAAATAGGGCTCTTTTTTTGGTTTTGTTTTATTTCCATTTTCTAACTTTCGAGCCTTCATTTATAGGGTTTTCACGTGAAATTTACATACATTAGCATCTCATAAGCATGATAAAAATTAAAAGAAGCAAACGAATGAGGAACGAATAATTGAATAGAACCAACTGAATGAATAAGAGTTAATATAAGAAACTCCAAACCATGTTGGCCACTTGAATATGTATAATGATAAGATATGCGTTGTACTATGTGCATTGTGATTGTAGGTCGCGAGTCGAGGACGACACAATCATTTCTGGAAACCACTGTGAGTAACAACTCATATGTAATTTCTTATTGATATGATATGCTCTGTTAAACGTTATTTCCTGAAATAAATGAATGATTGTCTATTCTTTTGAAATGTAACGTGGTTTCCTGATGTTCACGTGGCCCTTACCTAAGGGTAACAATACCGTGGTTTATGTTTATATGTTCACGTGGCCCTTACCTGGGGGTAACAATACTGTGGTTTATGTTTATATGATCACGTGGCCCTTACCCGGGGGTAACAATACCATGGTTTATGTTTATATGTTCACGTGGTCCTTACTTGAGGGTAACAATGCTCATGGGTAACAATACTGTAGCTTATGTTCAAGTGGCCCTCGCCTGGGAGTAACAATACCATGGCTATATGTGTACAGAAGTCTCTGACATGGATGTACTGGAACCACTGTACTGTTATGCTAAGGGAGCCACTGACATAATTGTTTATAAGTACTGACATGACTGTCTACAAGTAATGGTATGACTGTGTACATGACCTGATAAGATATACTATAAGTATTGTTATGCTATAAGTATTGTTTATAAGTACTGTTATACTATAACGTTCTGATTCAAGAATCACAGATGACCTGAACTGTTTGAATTATTGATTTGGGACTTTATTCATTAACCATTTACCTTGTTGTTATTCACTGGGCTTTAGCTCACTATTTATATATATATATATATAGATGAGCGTTCTGGAGGGAAAGCGTAGAAGAGACTTTAGTCAAGCCACCATTTGAAGCCTACTGAGTCGTTTTGTGTGCCTCTGAGTTGGGGCTAGGCCTGGAAGGTCGTTGTTAATCTTTTGATCATGTTGTATATTTTTTACACATGCATATATTTTGTATATAATATTATGTTATACGTGATGTATTCTAAGTGGATAAATTAACGTTTTTACATTTAAATATTTATTCATATAGATGCACAACTCATTGGACTATTGGTGTTTTTGTATATTGTTTCCGCAAGACTCGATTATTTTTGATTGTACAAGAAGGCCTTTAGTAATCTAAGGATTACTGGCCAGTTACGACACCAAACTTTTAGCTGTGGGTTTGGGTCGTGACACCCATGGCTACCAAGCTTATTCTCTGTATTGTTAGAGCTACAATAGTCATGGGCAGAGCATTTACATGTTTCTACTCTTGACACCGTGACTTGCTCCTCACATACTCTTACTAGATAACTTTTACCTCTACACCTTACTTGCACTACTGTGCTAATGAAGCCCATAATCGTTGTGGCAACTTTGACTCTACCACATCTAAATGATAACTGATTAGACTTATCGCCATCCACCCTAATTACTTTCCCCCTACAGGCTTCCAATCTTGTTGAAAGTGTCAACACTCTACAAGTTAAATAGAACACTATAGCAGCACAACCAAACTCTTCTCTCTTTCTCGAAGTGCCCTAACTTTGACCACTTTATCATAGAACCGCACCATTCCTTCCGGTAGCTTTCTAATAATACCAAGTTTGCTTTCAGCTCAATAGATGATCTGAAAGACACCACCACTGTCCTTTTACAACCTTTTCTTACTACAACTCCTTTTAGCCCTACATCACTGACTGCTTTTTTAAAGTCTGAGAAAGTATAGAAGCCTTTCAGCTTAACAATAAGATTGTCATATAACCACCCATTTCCCACTTCATTCACATCAATTGTGCGACCTGTAGTCTTCTAAACATTCCCCTCCTGAACTGCTTCCGCATATGACTTCAGCCCTATGAATGATGACCCTGCTTTCCCAAGGTGCCTTATACTATTCTCATCACCTCGCCCATTACCATTCCCTGCTATTGCAGATTGACCCACTCCCCTAACACATGATGTATCCTTTGCAAACTTTATTACATTGACCCGCAAAGCTTTATCATCACACCACATTCCATTGGCCTTTTGGACTGCCATGTTTGCCGCTACTGGGCAATCGTGCCTGACGAAACCAAACCTTGATCTTGTTGTTTTCCTAGTCTTGTTTGGAATTAATACATCTCTAACAGCCCCAAACTTCATAAACATCGCATAAAGTCCCTTTGGATTCATAGATGAGGGAATATTGTCCAAAAAATTTGTGTAAATACCTGGATTGCCATCGTCAGACCTTTGAAACTGTCTCTCTCTTTCATAAAGCACCGGTCGCCAACCTCCCACCTCTCTTGCCATTTCAAATAATCCAATGTTGGTCTATTCATGATAATTTTGGTTTGTGAAAGGTAATAGATTTTCTGATAACTGTTATTGATTTATTTCGGTTACATCTCTTTCTTGTGTGACCATTAAATTATGTTTAAAAGCAAATTGCTAGAGATCATTACAAAGTGTAGAGAAGAATCTAACTTATTTTACTAATACATTTGAAGGATGTAAAATGATTGGAGAATTACATTTTGAATCATATGTCTCCATTTTTTAGAAGATTCTTGAACCATTTGGCTGAAAGTTTGGAATATCTTTTCAAACCATTTTTGTAATCCACATAGTTGATGCCAAAACGAACTGTGTAACCCGAGCTCCATTCAAAATTATCCAGCAGTGACCATGCAAAATATCCTTTTACATTAGCACCATCCCTATATGAAAAACAAAATCAACAGTAAACTTCGTATGTAATAATTTTTTTATTTATAATTTCTAAAATTGTAACTTTCGCACTCATATATTTTGTAAATGCAACATTATTTGTTAGTCATCTTCAGAACTTACTTGATTGCTTGTAGAAGGAAAGAAAGATGGTGATAATAGTAATGTATCCTTGTGTTGTCGGCAAGGGCTTCTTCAAGTGATAATGTAGCATTATTTGCCTCATCAATCCCTGAAATGAATGGGCGAAGAATGTTTAGTGTAAACTTAATTTGTAATTACAAATTTATTAGATTTATATGTTACCATAAATGAAACAATTTTATGTTAATGCAAAATTATTAATGAATTGATTACCATTCTCCGTGATATAAATAAGCGGATTATTATATTTTTTCTTCACGTAGAGAAGAATATCATAAATGCCTCTTGGATAAACGAAAAGCCAAGTTGAAGCAGCCTGTAAGATCGTGTAAAGTTATGGAGTTGATTATGAAAAATCTCTATTCATATGCAAGTTAGTAAATATATTAAATTTAAACAAGCTCCACAAGAAGAATTGCTTAAATTTCTATTTCTTACCATCGCACCGATAGGAACCCCATTCCGCTTAGCTAGCATAACAAAAGAATCATTTCTAGTTAGCACATATTAAGTTACAATAACGTTTTTAATTAATGGTACAAAACTTTGAACTTACTTGTAAGGTTAACCTGAGAATCTGTTAAATAACTGGCATTTACACTGTTGGAGTTTGGTGTGTATGCTGCATAATTAGCGGTGTAATAGTTCAACCCGAGAAAATCAAATGATCCTTTTAACATCTTGGACTGTTCTTTGGAGAACTTAGGAAGTCGCTTTCCCACAAGAGTCCGCATTGTATGTGGATAGTCACCGGTTGTTAGAGGGTCCATAAACCTCCAATACACAAGGAAAAACATAGTTAGGACATATTATAAATTGATGACCCTACTTATGACAATATTGTTCAGTACCATATATGCGTTATAACAAAAAGGACAATTATAAAACACTAACCATCCAAACATAAAATCAAGGGCCCTTAGTGCAGCAGTACGGTCTTGTCTTTCTTCTGAGAAAGGTACCATCCAATGTGATATGAGTGTAATTCCAATCTTTCCCTTTTGTGATGTCTGTTTACATTTCTATCGTTTGAGTAATTCAAAACTATCTAATATATTTGTATCCAAAATTTATCATATGTAGCAAATCGATTCTTAAACATAAAATTACTTTAGTTTCCATCGACTATGGTTAGGAAGTAGCATTAAAATTAGCATATACTCCAAAACTCTTTGATAATAATGTGAATTATATATGTAGTTTCCTTGGGTTTTCAAGTGAGACCTGATACTTTCGCTTGTACAAATTCACTGCAGTTGCATGAGCGAGAAGTTCGTGGTGTGATACAATATATGGCTCAGTGCTTGAATCCCCACCAGTACAATTTAACTGTAGCCATGAAGAGCATCGACCTGGTGCATAGTTACCAACTGCGTACCCACTCATGCTATATGACCACGGCTCGTTCAAGGTGATCCAGTGCTTCACCCTATCACCAAATTCTTTGAAGCAAAGTTCTGCAAAGCCTTTGAAATCATCCCTATAAAGTCGATCATCAATGTTGGAATATGACACAAATACGTTACAATGTTTTAAATTATGTAAAAAAAAAATGATATATGTAAAAATTGTATTGAGATTTTAAATTTCTTGAGGCTTTCTTTTTCTTATTAAAATTTCTTAAATTGTCATTAATATGACCCTAATTTTTAATACAGTAAGAAAAATAAATTATAAAGAAAGATTATAAATAGATTAAAGAAATGTAGTGTACTAAAAATAATATTTAAAAAACTATTTGAAATTTATTCAAAATTTGAATATGTACTATTTAAATATAAAAAAAAATTGTATGGTGCAAATTTAAATTTTGTGTTCCACATTCAAGATAATATGATTTGCACATTTTTAATTATGCGTATCTTTTAATGTATTTTTAAAAAAAATACTATGTACTAAGAAATACTTCCATAATTTAAATTTATAGTGTACAATTAGGGGGTGTTTGTTTGGTGGAATAGAATTATGGGATTAGATTCTATGTTCAATAGAATAATTAATCTAACGTTTGAATAGAAAAAAGAAGGTTAGACTAATAGTTCGGTCGGACAAATAATCCCCCGTATGTGAGATAACTCTATTCTATGGGGGTGTGGGATAGTCCCCCATAAAATGAGTGAAGAAGACAATTAAAAAACAGAAAAAAAAAAAGAAAGAAAGAAGAAGAAGACACGGAGCAAAAACAAAACGTTGTCATTTTTGAACAATTTGGGACGACTGCTGTGCTAGGTGCACAGCAGCCACTGCTGTGTAGCCAAATGGGTCCATTTTGGGGTCTATTTTGATAATCCGAACTTGTTATTACTTACACAACTTTTGGACTTAAGAAACCACCATACTCATCTTCCAATGCTTGGGGAAGATCCCAATGGAAAAGGGTCACAAATGGCTTTATACCTACAAATGTCAGCATAAGAAGACAAGATAATTTTGAGGCTATTAAAAAAGATAGTTAATGATGACACGATTGAGTTGAATCATAACCTTTTCCCAAGAGCTCATCTATAAGGTGGTTGTAATATTTGACTCCTTCCTTGTTCACTCCACCACTTAGCTTTCCACCTAGAAATATTACAAGTATCATCCAAAAATTATGCAAATATAGGTAAGAAAGATAAAAAAAAAAAAAAAAAGTATGGTAACCACTGATTGGATCATCCTAGTTCATAACTTCTACCAATTTTTTCCCCTTTTTTGTTAAATGCCTAGGATTACTCAAATCAAATGATTATAATCTCATTTTGGGTCTCACTTTCTTTTTACATCTTCATTTGAGCCCATTTTTCACATATTCTTTGTTACAATTGTGGTTTCATTTGCCTGCGTTCTTAGATAGGACCCTTCTTCCTTGTATATATATAATGCATATTTGACAACATCTAGAGAAACTGTATAATTGATCATCTTACGTGGCAATACTCTAGACCATGAGATAGAGAATCTGTAAGCATCTAGACCCATTTCTTTCATGATCTCTACATCTCCCTGTAACATCATTAGAGAAAAAATAAACTAATAAATATTTTTTTTTCAATAAATCAATTCAATTGTATAACTAAAATTTACTTATGAAAAAATGTTATATTTTTCCCGTTAAATTTACAACATTTCCAAGTAACCATAAGCCAGTGACATTTATGAAAGCAGTATTCATGTAAGCATATACATTACATTTTAACGCGCTGGAATAGTTAGAAATCCATCATTGGATTATTGGCCAATGTCAAAAGCTGGAAACAGTTCCGGCTGCTCGAACCTAAAGCCATGGTAAGTCTCTTTACAATATATTTGAGCCTCATATGAAACTTCTAAGCCCAAAGGTGTATTTGGATTTCATAGGCAATTTTACATGGAAATTTCCTATACTTTTAAATTTACCTAGACCATTCATTCATACTTTTAAAAACATTTTCAATGATATAAAATTCACTTCATTCCAATTTGAAACCAAGACTAGGTAGTAGTGTTCTTTTAGGACTTCTATTAAATAACTGGTTACGTATTGAGACTCTTGGCTTATTTTTGTTGTATTTATTAAAATTGTAATAATCAAGAGTGGTGATTTTTATTATATGTTTGGATGATGATCATGTAATGGATGGTTGTTTTTATTTTCATTAAATTAGTTTCTATTTTTCCAAAACTCAAATATATCAACTACTTTGATATCATTATTAAATCAATCCAACAAATTAAAAAATTCAAAACTAAAAATATTTTATACATTAAACATATTGAGTACACATTAAAAGCTTAACAACCACACATTACATGATCATCATCCAAACATATAATAAAAATTAATTTGGTAAAATAAATAAATAAATGCGTAAAAGATTTATTAATTTTACATAATTTTATCTTTGGTGGGTAGAAATAGTTTTTAAAAATTCAAAAATATTTTTTTGACATTTATTTTTATCAAAATTAGTTTATATTTTATCAAATTGAAGACTTGCCCTTGAAATTGAGTAATGATATCTTCAATTGTTCTTATTTGGAACAAGATTTAAAATTTATGGTCAAATTTGTTACAATCAAAAAATCAGGGATTAAAGTGACACGAGTCCCAAACTAAAGATTGTTCGTGTAATTCACCCTAAATTTATCACTACCAAATTTTCATTCTCCCTCTTCCCTTTCTCTCCATCCATTTCTATTGTCACTACCAGATCTAAGGAGATGGTGAGAGTAGTGATGTTGATAGGGGTACAACTCAAACAAGTTCAGTTAGGTTGGAAGGTTGTCTAAGCCTAATCCAAACTATGCTAAGATTTGTCTAGGCTCGCTGTAGACACCCCATTTTTGACCGCCCTTAAGACTTGGGCGCTACTGATGGTTTGCTCGATGATGAAAGGTGTGCAGGGTAAAGGTTCAATTTCTTCGGCAATGAGAGGGCCAAATCCCAACTTCACACCCCATTTTGGACCAAAGCTATTTTGAATGGTTTTTAGACCTTAAAACCCTCTCTTTCAAAACATTTTTGAAATAAAGTTTCTACGATGTTCCGAGGCTCACATTTTGTCAAAAAAATGCACTTTTCGATAAACCGAGCAAGGACAAAGTGGAAATGAATGAAAGAGAGATGAAATCTTTGAAAAATATTTCAAAACACCTTGCTTAGGGGTTTGAAGTTGAAGAAAAGAGGAGTTGTATTGTGTTACTTGTGTATGTAATATATATTCAATATAATATAATGATCTAAATTACTTTAATATCATGTAATGACTAATAATTTTATGTATATTTAATATTTTCATAATCTATATATATAATTCGAGTTTCGGATTGCTCGGGATGTCTTTGCCCAAACCGACTCAAATTTAATTTGAACTTTTAAATTTTTGTTCAAATCCGTACCGAAGTCAAAAATCACTACAAGAAAAAACACTTTTCGTGACCAACATTTTGGTCGCGAAAAGTACCATATTTGGTCACTAAAACCTTTTCGCGACCAAAATATGTTGGTCGCTAAAGCCTCGTCCCAGATAGTTTTTTGCGACCAAAAAAACCTTTGGTCACTAAAAGTGACCATTGGCGACCAACTTTTTTAGTTGCGAAAAGTCCAATTCATATTAGCCAAAAGGGAACTTTTAGCGACCAAAAAAAGTGACCATTGGCGACCAACTTTTTTGGTCGCGGAAAGTCCAATTCATATTAGCCAAAAGTAAACTTTTAGCGACCAAAGATAAGTTGGTCGCCAAAAGTCAGCTCCTTGACCCAAAAAAAATAATTCTTTTGTGCTGCCTGGGACTTGAACTCCTAACCAAGGACTCACCATGCACCCAATCCACTCTGCTAATAACATGCTTCTTGTCCATATTTGGCAAAAAAAATATATAACCCATAAATATTGGGTTATATATTATTTTATAAAACTTTTAATGCCTAAACAGAAAAATAGCATGTAATTACAGTAGTATCATTTTTTTAAAAATTTATCCCTCCATAACTTTCCGCGACCAACGTTTTTTTTTAGTCGCCAAAGGGTAATCTTCCGCGACCAAAAAAGCCTTTGGTCGCCAATAGTATACTTTCCGCAACCAATTTTATTTTTTGGTCACGAAAGGGTGATCTTCCGCGACCAAAAAAGCCTTTGGTCGCCAATAGTATACTTTCCGCGACCAACTTGTTTTTTTGGTCGCCAAAAGGTGATCTTCCGCAACCAAAAACGCCTTTGGTCGCCAATAGTATACTTTTCGTGACCAATTTTTTTTTTTAGTCGCCAAAGGGTAATCTTCCGCGACCAAAAAAGCCTTTGGTCGCCAATAGGTATACTTTCCGCTACCAACTTTTTTTTTTGTCGCCAAAAGGTGATTTTCTGCGACCAAAAACTTGTGGTCGCCAAAAGTTAAATTTTAGTCGCAGAAAGTGGACTATTTGCGACAAAAAAAAAATAGGTGGTCACCAAAAGTGTTTTTTCTTGTAGTGAATATTGTACCTAAGCCCTAAAACAATTAGGGCTAAGGTCGGGTTGCTCAAGTTAAGCTCGCCCAAGTTGCACCCCTAGACATGGTGGAGATGGATGTTTTTGCTATAAAAATTGTTAGAGAAATATTGAAAAAATATCTCTAGACACCAGAGGTGGTCGTTGGTGGTTGAAGACAGCTACCAAAGATGATGGCTGATGGTCGGAGAGGGTGGCCAGAGGTTGTTGGCTAGAGGAGGGACGGAGTTCTAACATTGTTGATAATAGATATCAAGAAGGTGAGGGGAGCGCATTTTGAGAATATTAATATATGAGGAGAAAAAAAAAGAAGTAAGACTTACAAATAAATAAGTTTGGTCAATAAAATTGACTTGTAAACATCCCTAAATACATTGAAGGAGGGTTTTGGAATTGAAAGGCTGTCAAATTCTTTGTCGCCCGTTCACAATAAGCCTAAATTTAAATACAACAAGCTTATCTAAAAAATATAGCATTGCCTAGGATATATATATATATATATATATATATTTTGACACAGGTAGACATCAGTTAGTAATATTAGTCGTTAGTTTTGGGTGATTTCAGCAGTTCCATTTTATTGTGCAACATGGGAGTAGTAAGTGGTCCAACTAATACTATTTCATTACATTTTGGCTTATCACAGACTTTGATGATTCATTCTTGCATAGAAGTCATTTTGTTACCCCTCCATTTCTAAAGGAATTGCAAAGGAATATGGATTTTGTCTAATTGTCAGTTTTCAAATGATTCCTTAATACATGAAAAGGTGAACATGTTTACAGCATGAACAAGGTAATGTATTGTGTACATTGCCTCTTCAGGGGGCTATAAATGATTTGGTTTAGTAGTTATGTTCTGAAGGCCTAAATTTGAATTCCTTCAATGGAACCCATTTAGATTGTTCTAGTATTTGAAGGAACCCATTTAGATTGTTCTAGTATTTGATGATGGAAAATTTGCTTTCTGGGATTCAACTTATGATTATAACATTTTGCTTTCAGTTTATTGATTTCTTTTAATGAGAAGCCATTTATTTTATTGTTATTAATATTTTTCTTATTGTTAGCTATTTCATCAATACCCTTATTCTGCCTACAATAAATGGGCCTATGGAGGGTCTAATGCTAATATATATGTGGTCCATTTCTTTACAGCTATAGTTTGTATGACCCTTTTGTATATATATATACATTGATAAGTAGCCCTTTTACATATTTAAGGCACTCATTATAGACATAAATATTTTAACCAATTAATAGGTTTAAAAAAAACTCATTCATTGATTAGGTTTTTATTCTTTTAGCTGTATTTCACTATAATATTAATTTTGTCTCCTTTTCAGGTGTTGAGTGCTGGGCTCAACAATTTGGAAAGTCTTTGACATTTTTGAGTTGGGTTCCAGTGATAAATGGTATGACTCATGGATAGAATAGGATGTCTAGAAACACATAGGCAACTAAAAATTTATTCATAGATAGAACATGGTATTTTTAAGTGTGCTTTATATGGAGGGAAGTGTTCATGATTTGTCAAATCATACTACTTCAGAATTCCTTTGAAACGAATAACTTGACCAATTAAATTTTGTACGTATGATTTACACTAGAATGAAGGAATAATGGGCTTTCATACTAGAATGGGCTTCTCTAGGTTCATCTCTCTCTCTCTTTCTCTTTCTCTCTTGCATGGTTTGCTGTTTGCTTGCCATGCATTGTTGGTTGTTGAGTCTACTAACTTAAAACTTTTGGAAATAGAGCTCTACTTCTATGAGCTTCTATTTGCACACTAGTCTTTTTTTTCTTTTTTCTTTTTTTTTTGTTGCTCAGTTCTCATTACTTTGTCAATTGTTAACAAAAATTCATGGTTCAAATTCAGTAGTTAATATATGAATAATGGATTTTTGTTTAGTTGATACTCGAAAGACAAAATGGTGTGAACTGAAAAGTTTTATGGTCTATTCCTGTCTTGTTGTTCTAGTATCTTTCTCATTATACACTTTATTTTATTTGTCTTCATGCATTGTGTACTCTATTTTACTTCTCATTGTGCATCTTGTTTTTTCGGTCTATTTGTCTCTCCATGTGCAACAAAGTTACACATAAGGAAAAGTATTAACTTGATATATATATATATATTGTTGGATTTATTTCTAATACCTTAAGCTTTTTGGATAATTATTTCCTAATATCTTGGTCCTAGATTAATTGGCTCGGATATAGATTTATATTAAAAAAAAACAGCTGCCTTGAGATGAGGGTTTTTTTTTGGTGAGTGTGTGTGTGTGTGTTTTTTTTTTTTTTTATTTGGGAATTGGGTTTTAATTTGTTGTGATTTTGGAAGGTATCTTGCTAAAGGAAAGGGGATATTGCAACATCATCAGCTGATTGATGAGTTTGAGAATGTTGTTGGAGAAGATGGAGTCATGCAGGAGCTCAAAGAGAGTCCTTTTAGCCAAATTCTGAAGTTTGCACAGGTAAGTGCGGCACTAACTGTAAAGGTTACAACCTAACAGGACCATTTGAAGGACTCATGGAAATTGAATTACTAAAAAAAATAAATTAAATTGATATTTGTTTTTGGTATTCCAATCTAATAATTGTTTCTAGCAACTATAATGCGAAAAAAACATGAAAATATATATATGTATATATAATTTTTCCAGAAAATGAAAAAAATGCAGTATTGATAGTATTACATTCATTGTCAATTCTGTGAAATTTTTCTGTTTATAGCATTACACAATAATGTTGCCTTTTGTCACATCATCAACTAATTTTGTCTTTATGGTTGTGTCCCCACATGTATTTGCATGTGTATATATAATTTGTATGTTTTTTCTTTAATTGGTGTGCATTCTCCCAAATACCCCTTAATGCCGTACCCCTCCCAAATCCATCCAAACACCCATGCCCCTCCAAACACCCATGCCCCTACCGGGGCCTGAATCCCCAATCTCCGCCGTGGAAGTGTTGGGGTGATGTCACTAGACCACAAGGCCATCGGCCATATTTCTGTGTGTACGTATATATGAGAAACCCAAATTACTTCACTTTTCATTTTAATAAATTGTTGTGAAGCTTAGAGACTTGTTTTATATCTAAGTCTCTTCTAGTTTCTTCGATGTGTTTTGATTTTTATTTCATGCAACTGAATGTTAAGGATAGGGAACCATGTTATTTGGGAAAGATCCATGCAGTTTGAAAAATGATAAATGAAAGAAGGCTTCTCTTAATAAATGGCTCCTTTCCATGTAATAGATGAGTCTTCTCTTGACATTGGTAAACATCATCCACAAAAAGTCCAGTTATGTAGATGATCTCCATTGAAATTAACATCTCTTATTTAATATTTAGCATGAGAAGGTGATTTGTTTAGTAGCATAAACTGAGTCTGTTAATGCACATAGAAAATAAGCCCATGCTTGTTTAAATTTCAGCATTTTACTTTTCCAGTAAATAATCTCATTTCTATTTTTGGTGCTGATTTTGTGTACTGAAATTAGAAACCTCAGGGGGTGGAATGTAATTTTCAAAATCACAGGCGTGATTCTTATTTTAATCAAATCTCAGAGGGTGTATTTGTAATTTACCCAAAAAAATTTAAAAGTGCAATATATTCATTTACATTTCACTCACCTTTTCATTTTTCTTTATAAATTCATATCAAAATCTATAATTCAAACGAAATCTTAGGAATTTTAAATCTTATTCAAATCTTAGGAATATTTGGCATGATAAAACTCAAATATTGGGTTTGAATTTTAAATTTGTGGAGAAATTAATGAAAATAAAAAGAAAAAAGAAAAAAAAAACAGTAAATACAATTGAAGTTAATTTTTTTTCTTCATTTTTTTCACCCTTTTTTCTTTTTCATTGTATAATTTTATTTTACAAATCCAAGATCTAAACTCCAAAACAAAAAAACAAAAGCAAACAAACAAACAACAAATGTCAATGCTTTGAGCTTATGTCATTATCATTTAATAGGGGGTTTAAAAAAAAAGTAATTAATGTGAATGCTATTTCCAAACTTGAAAATTTTCATTTTTGACATTCAAAATGAATGAGGCCTACGTTGAACTTATGTAAACAACTACACTTTTGTCTACCAAACATTATAGTATTCCTTGATTTTCCAACAATAATAATAATATGATGGGGAAAAAAGAAAATCACAATAACTAAACCAAAGCTTCAAAATTTCAAAATTGAACTTTACTCAAAATTTTATCTCATTGAGTCGATGAAAACAATCAATTAAATTTTGATTATCAAACCTGATATAATATACAATAAACAAGATAGCCAGAAATTTTCAATATCTTAAAATATTATAGTTTTATATTTGTTCGTATGAAGTGAAAATATATGAAATAAAAAAATTGAAGGAGAGAATGCATAATTTATAATTTTTTCATTTGTCGTCTTTACTGTTTAACAAAAGTGAAGTTTACATGGATTATGTAATCCTATGAATTGCAAGCGCGCGCGCATATATATATATATATATATATATATATCTTAATGAGCTTGCGATGCATAGCACTCGTTTGGGAAGTTTGATTGGGGTGGGTTGGGGTTAAAATAGTCACAAAAAGACAAAATAGGCTTTTTAATCAAATAAGACAAAATGTTACATCCAAACCAAAATCATTTCATTTTTTTTCTCATAAAAGTAAAAAAAAAAAACCAAAAAACTCATCCCTAACGAGACTGTTTAGGCCAAGCTAAAATAACTAAAAAACCAAAAAGCCAACTCACATCCCAAACGAACCATATAAAGCTTGATTATTGAGTTTTCTGTCAAGTTTATATATATATATAAATTCTTAGTAAAGCTCAGTTAACTTATTTTAGTCAAATTGAGTTGTAAACATTTGTTGAATCTAAATATTGCAAACCAAATTCACTTGAGTAATCCTAAACAAGTCATTCTCAATATTTGTCTAACTCCCACCTAAAAGACTCAAAAACAAAAAATAATAAATAAATGGAAGAAGTAAGGTCTTGAAATGAAACTTTTTAATTTTTGAAGCATTACATAAGTAATGTCAGGTAATAATCTATAAGTAATAGATAATTATAGGTAAGAGGGGATATGAAATGAGAGAGAGAGAGAGAGAGAAGAGTATATAAAGGAAATAATTTGATGAGTAGATTAATTAAAGAAGAAATGAGACCTGGATATCTATGCGTGAAGGTATCCCATATGCTAGGACCTCTACCACCTTCATTTGCTGCACCTTCGTACTGAAAAAAAAAATGAAAAAGGAAAAAAGAAAGAAAGAAAAGCATGCATGAGAAAAATATTATTTGTCACCTAGATTGAATTGCTTCAGGCACATCTAAGTAGTTCATTTGTGTGAGTCCTACATAGGTTCCATAAAAATTAATAACTCATGTCTATTTGAAACATGTCATTTGTGCGAAAACAGTTTACGAAATTAAAAAATAATAATTTTTTGGTGTTTTGTAAAAGATTGTTATTTCAAAACAAAATCCCCCAAAAGTTTTGGGAAACAATTCACCGAACTTTTTTATTTTTTGTTTTTTGTTTTTGTTTTCTAAAAATAAAAACAAAAATCAAAAGCACAAACCAAACAACATAACTTTTTCTTAATGGGCAACCAAACAACTTAACTAATAGCACAAATATGAACCACAATATACGGCAAATTGAGATAGATATAAAGGAACCTGATAAGCAGCAGAGGCTGTGCCAAAGGTAAAACTGGGTGGAAAACTGGTGCGATTGAGAGAGTCACTGCCATAACTACTATGTGTTGAAGCTTCCTCACTACCATTTGTTGTTGTTGTTCTTGATTGAGATATTACAAGGAGGAGGGACAAGAGTATATAACCCATAATTGTTTTTGGTTAGCCTCTCACCTCTTGCATGTTTTGGCTTTAAATATATAGTGCCATGAGAATAGGTTAAAAATTTGTTGTCCTTTTAATGAGAAATTCTTGTATGTTAATACGATAACACATGACATTGTTTTTTACTAATCATAAATGTAGATATGCTCCCTATTATTATCTAAACACTCGATATAAATGTAGTAGACTTTATTGTCAAAATCAATCACAGTAGTAGAAGATACCACATAACATATACCTTATCTACTTACAAAAATTATGCATATATTGATCTGGCAAAATGCGAAATAATAACAATCTTAAAATCTGTTGATTAAAAAAGGATATTGGAAGTAAGATTCTTCTATAAACTCATTGATTCACAAAAAATATCGAGAATAAAGACTTAACAATAGTTGATTCACAAAGTATATCCAAAGTTGAAACAATAGAGTACAAAACTTGAAATATATGAACTTTCAAAACTATCCCCTTGCCCTAATGCTTACATCTTTATTTATAATAAATCAAATTTTTGTAAAATAAGAAACTAATAAAATAGGAAAATTGCATCATATCAAATCAAGAAACTAAATAATTAAATAATTCTATAATTCTATAATATTCTATACTAAATTAGAAAATTCATAATCAACTATTAATTTCAAAATAATAAAATAAAAATATGCACGCAGATTATCTGCAACATTCAGGAGATTCGGTTGGAAATGGGTAGTTTGCTGGTATGATGCTGCTGGTTTGACAGGTATGTTTCCTGCCTGCTTCTGTTTAGAGGGTCTGCTGGCTTGACCTGCTGTGCTGTGGTTCAGCAGCAGCTCTCCTGTCTGGTTGGTGGTCTGTGCCTTCCACCTGCAGGTTGGTGCACTATTCTGCTGTGTGTGGTCTGGTTCCTAGCTAGAAAGATTTGTTGCTGGTAGGCTGCCTGGTTTGTGCCTTCGATGCTGCTGCTGGAACTGGCTGTAGGGGTTGGTTGTAGGTGTATCTGGAGTCTCAACTGGGTGTAGCTTCCCAGGATCTCCCTATCCTACTCTGTCTTTTACTCTTTTTTTATCTTTCTCTTGTTCCCTTATTGGTCCCCTCCCAATGTAGGGTATTGTGCATCTTGCTCTTCTCCCTTTGTTGATGTAAGTTGTGTTTGTTAGTCTTTCTCATCAATAAAGTGGGCTTTTTGTTGATCAAAAAAAAAGATCAGCATGTTTGTTTATTAGGATATCAAATCATGAAATAACTTTAGATGGTACCACAGCGTTTTTTCTCTGCAAAGTGTGATCTTGTAGATAAGATTTCTCTCAAAAAAGCTCACTACTTGCCATGGTTCAACTCTCTAACGATTCTATGATAGACGCATAAATTTTAAATTTGAATATGTGAAGATGAACATCAATCAGGACAAAGGGCAAGTGACACAAGATTTTTATCACTACAGAGTCTGGAGAGAGTATAATGTTCATGTTTTCATCTCCCAATACGTGGAATACTGTTTATGATT